TGGGAGAAAGAGGGTCTGTGCTCACAGATTTCACAACCTGACTTTTCTAGAAAAAAAATCTTTGAGTAAAAACTGACAAATGACTTAGATTTTGTCTGTTGGCTCCAAAATTAGGATTCATTTTCAGAAAAAAAAGAGCAGAACAATTCAGGCGAGAAAGTCTGGTGGTGAAAAGGTTAATTGAATAAAAAATACCCCAGGTTTTATTGATCCACTCCTAATTATTGATAAAGCCAAAATGACATATGTATGATGAAAAACACAGTTTCCTTTTCATTTTAGATACAACACAGGGACTATAATGTAATCACATACATCAATTTGATATTTTTAGTATCATTGTAGCTCAAGTCATATTGGTAATAAAATCTTCAGCAATATTTCATTACCATATTTCAATATTTCAAGTCTTGTTTTGAAACCCTTTTACACTTTCAGGCAATTTGTCTTCACAATATTAGTTGGTTCAAGTGTGTGAAATTTTTCTGGAATTGTTTCTACAATACTGTAAAATGACTAATTTTCACTGGGTTTAAATTTTGCTGATTTACCATTTCAGGAGTATTCAGTTGATTTAAATTGACGGTTTTATCATTTAGATAATGTGTTCTATCCTAAATTTTACATATTCACTGGGTTTTAATTTAGTGCATTTTCCAGTCAGCAAAATAAGCAAAATAAAAACCCAGTGAATAATAAACCTTTTTACAGTAATACTGAATCAAACAGCACTAATTTTTATTTGATTAGCACTTTTAAATTAAATTATTTCTTGTTACACTTTCAGGCAATTTTTCTTCACAATATTAGCATTAATTTTTATTTGATAATCATTTTTAAATTATGATTTACAAAAATTATAGAAATAAAGTGATACTCAACATGAGAAAGTGATAACAAAGGTAGGAAATAAAATTCAGATGAACCAAGGTTGGGTTTTCGATCTATTGCACAACAGACCAAAGCTTACATATGGGTAGCTTTAAACACAATTAATTATTTACTGAGTTTTAATTTTGT